TGGTTATAACTTATTAGTTATAGTTATTATATATAATTATAATTAATCGCTTAATATTTTATTGATGTCTTCAATTCTTTAATAGTGCTGAGGGTGAACAAGTTAGTGGTATTAACGAACAACTTAATGGAAATGATGAATCCAGAAATTATTGTTTATCAGATCAAAAACAGTTGTTGCGGTTGTCTGAATGTATAAAACATTTGAGTGAATGTTATGTAGAAGTATGCCCTAATCAAGATGTCGGATTTAAAATATTACAGACTGCCATGCAATCAGAGGTTCTATTCTTGATTACAAATAATCAATATTAAGTCATAATATTTACATTTGTAATATAAAATATTTCAGGCCAATAATTTCATAAAAAAATTCCACACAGAGAAAATCAACAAACTGCAATTACTTTTAGATAGCGAAAACTGGCGGCAAAAAGTTGTACCATCAGAATTCCAACTCTTAGTTGAATACATTCAAACTACTGGTATTTATGTTATTGACTACTTATAATTTTTAGTATGATTTAGAAATTTATATTTAATTTACATATATATTTATATTTTAATACAGTTAATTATATTAATTTTTGTAAGCTAATATAGTTCAATTAAAATTGACATTCATTTTTTTTTTTTTTTAAGCTTTAAATAGATTTTCGTCTTAATATGTCATGTAATATTTTTCAGGTCAATTTTCAATGCCCAAACCATTATCACCAAAGACATCTACTAAACCAGCTCAGATATTGATTGTAAATGATGAAAGTTTTGCAGTGGTTGGGTAAGTTTATTTTTATAACTGCAATCAGAATAATATAATGAAACTATAATTTTAGAACTGTGTTACTTTTGATTCAAATGGTAACCGAGTACTGTACAAAGGCTGATGAGATAAATTTGGCCGCACAAAGTTTGTTACGTTATGTGTGCGATATTTTAAGAGAGTATAATTCTAGATCATATTATTTAGTATTGCAAGCTAAGGCAATATCAAACAAGACTGGTCTAAAGAAAATAACATGTACTAATTTAGTGTTATCACTTAGAGCTTTACAATTGTTACTATGGATAGTACCTTACATACAAACACATTTTTATAGTAAGTATCACTTATGACTTACATAAACTTTGTATTTGTAAACATATAAAATTATCAAAAAGATTTAGTTTTTACTATCTGTAGTATTTGTTTATATTTAATTTTTCTTTAAAGATTTTTTGGAAGAATCTCAAGTGAATACTATACTGAATAGAGTTAAAAACGATATAACAAAACACATCAAAGACATACAAGACAAACTGCATGATATTGTTAAACAGATAATTGTGCAACAAATGTCAAACTGGGAGGCTAAACCTCCTATTCCGTCCAAATCGTTTCAAAATATTTGCAAGTATGAATTCGCTGTTTAGACAATAAACTTTGATGATTTTAATATTACTTTTTATTTTATTGTACTTGATTTTTTTAGGCACATATGTAAACTTCACGAGGCCATAGCAAGTATATTGCCAAAAATTCAAATTCAATACTTGTATAGACGAATTCATATAACATTTAAAGAAATCCTACATGAATGTATAAACAAAATGGATAATACTAATAATGATGGGMCCTTACGCGGGTAATTTAAATGTTTAATTTACACCATTTTCACCTAAGATACAACATTTTCTTATATAGTTTAAGAATTTTATTATTTTCTTTTGATTATTTGTTGAAAATTAAAATGTTTAGAATTGTGTCGTCTGAATTAATGTTTTACATTAAGTCATTAGAAAGCATTGATGCATTACCCAAAGAAGAAATGGCATTGCAGTCAATGAACGATATATGGAATGAAAATTTCTTAACGAACAATGGTCATTAATAAAACTACACAGAAAAATTTAGTTGAACAAATTTGTACCTATTTTTTAATGAGTAAACATTAAAGTTATTTTAAAAATAATTTTGTTTTATATACAAGTTGATATAAAAACTAACATTAAACCAATGTAATAATAGTCCAATACTTCATAATATGTTTTATCGAATAAGCTGTTTGTTTTATTCAACAATTTTTTTCTGTTTTATTGATATTTTTATAATTACATGAGAGAAGTTATGCATTAACATTTAACCTTACATCCAATTACAAAAATATGTTAATTTTTATTCTATAATGCTAATTATTACTATTATACCTTATTTTATTTTTTTGGTTTTCATATGTCAGATGTTTATAAGAATATTAATCATCATTGTTTTTCAACTCAGTATTTAATTATTTTAGTCAGTTGGTATAATGTTATAAGACTGAATATGCTTAGTCAGAAAAAAAAATTGGCCTATAGAGCATAATAATGGAAACTTAAGATTGTATAGTCTATGATTTTAAAAACTTTATAAAAAAATGTCTACATTTTCCTGTTTAATATTTCCTAAATATCCAATAAAATAAAATAAATATGATTCTAACTGTGCATTTATAGTTTGTAGTATCATTTGGACAAGATGAGATTTGTATTATTGAGTTTAAACCTCAAAGTTCTGTGTATTTAATATTTTAATGGAAAATAAATTTAAGGTATAGAATGATGTTATTAAAATTCATATAAGTATGATTTGATTTTGAGAAAAAATTATTTTAATTTTAAAGTTTCAAACTATAAAAGTTTCAAATCGCTTCTTTTAAAAAAAAAAATATTTATACTCATTTAAAATTGTTTGTTTTGTTTAACTTTGTCAAAATGCCCATACAATTTGATTTTTATTATTTAATAAAATGTGAAACTTAGCTTAATCGGTAAATATATTATAAAATATAGCACTTGTACTCTACTGTTGTACTAGTAACTATAAAAGTATAAAATAAAACTATAGAGTATAGGTTTATTTAAAATTACCAAAATATTTAATTTCGGTAAAACGTTTAAATGTATGATTAGGTAGGTACATTGTGTAACTACTGTAAAGTCCAAAACACAACATAGAATATTTTACAAAAATGATTCATGAATCGTTATTGTAAACATAAAATGTTCCATGTTGCGCATTGGACCTTCAGGTAAAAATTAATGCGCAAACAYCGACCATAATATTCATATTTTAATTTATTATTTGTTATTCATAATATTGATTTTATAATATACTAATAGATTTGACCACAGGAGTTTTTGGTGATTAAAATCTGTCATCTTCTATATGAAACCTATTGGATAACAGCATAATTTTAATCAACAAAACTCATATGGTCCAACTTATATGTATATTATAAAATCAATAGTTATACACTTATTATACATAATACATAACACTAGCTGTTCAAACGTCAAATTGGTTTTCTTCAATGTCTGCCTATGTTTAGTGTAACAAAACCAATAATCTGTCATTCATGTTATTTTTTCTTATTAAGAATATATTTTTAAAAATTAAATTACGTACATTTTATTCAATGTTTGTTAAATTAATTTTTTGAGTTTCTGTATAATGCATAARAATGTTATGAACGCTGAGTAAACGATCAGTTGCTGTTGCAACAAATAAAATATTATAATCAATAGGGCTACTCCGAGCTCGTGACACGTCATTTGATCCGATAAATAACGTCCGGAAATAAATAATCCGGTAGATAATAACCCGGCGACAAAATAACCAGCATCAAAAATATCTCGTGACAACGATAACCGGCGATAATCAGTTTTTTGGTTTTCGTTTTGTATCTTGTATACAACACACATTAATACCTCACAGGTTTTATTAAACGTTTTTCGACATTATTTTTAACAAAATTAAATATGCCACTGCCACTCACATTTGTTAAAAGTCAAAATGGCAAAAAACTTATTATTCAATGGATGTTTACATACCATACATCAAAAATACGATGAAAAAATTGTGTGACGTTGCACGGAGTATAAGAAATTTTCTTGTAAAGGCCGATGTCATACTAAATTACTTCGAGGACACTTGGATTGAACGGAGGAAAAGAAGTCCAATTTTTCCATTTAATATATGGAAATATTTCCATGAAACGACCAAGCACAAATAATGCAGTAGAGGAGTTGCATTATGCATTTAATTCTTCCATAAGCCTCCATCATACAACAATATGGAAATTAATTAATTTTATTAAAACTGAACAAAACTTGGTGAAAGCTAAAATAGAAAATAATAATTTAGGAGAGAGCCATAGCCATGCATCAAAAACAAAAAAAATATTAAGATTTGGACCAGCGAATAAAACATATTGTATTAAATTACTAAAGAGGCAATATAATAAATTATTTAAAAAGCATTGCTCATAATTTAAATTTTTAATCATTAAATTATACATATTTATCATAGAAAAACAAATATATTTATCCTACAATTTTATTATTATTATAGGTACTTACATTTATATTTTTATTATATATATATTTTTTTTTCTGACTCAATAATATTGATTTTATATTATTTATTCTTAATTGAAAAAACAATTACATTTTTACAGTCAGTAATTTTAATTATCTAAAACTACCAGACATTTTTAACCCGGTTAATTATGAGTACAGGTTATTTYTGTACCGGATCTAGTGACGCGGGTCATTTGTAGCCGGATATTATTCACCGGATCAAATGTCGTGGAACCTTCTGAGCTGACGGTGGAAAACTCCAATCTGATGTCGACAACGGCGTACCAGCCGCGGTGTAGAGTAAATCCACAAAATCTCTACCTCGTAGCGTCAACTAACTAATAGTGAACCTTAAAAATCGTAATAATATAATAGAATAAGATTGTGCATGGCTATTATATGCTGAGTCTAACAATTATAGAATTTTTAACTATTAAGAAAATATGATATGATTCTTATAAAAATGATATTAATCTTATAATGATATTATATATATATTATTATATTATATTTTCATGATTTTTAAGATAGGGTAACTAAAGAGATAAGAGATAGATGATTGATGAATCATTTTTGTAATCGTAAAATGTTTTACGTTGCGCTTTGGATCTTCAAATAAAAATAAATGTTAAAATTGTCATCAATCGACGTGTAATAATTTACTTATTATACACAAATCGTAAAAAAATTTTAAAATTTAATAAAAATTAAACGACAATATGGCAAAAAAGTTAACATAGTTAATTTGGTGACGGAAATCATAGACAACATGTTGCACGACACATTCAGACTATGGACTGAACTTTTCGGACGGTTGGAGACAAGGATCGGGGTTGCCATATTGAGACTATACTGATGGGATTTTTGCTTGCAACTTCGGCCATCCTCGTCGTTTTTGGGACTAACGCCATGGTGTTGAGCAACATAATCGGATTGATTTGACGACAGTGTCATTAATGATTCCACCATCGAAGTGGTAGAACTACACTTCTGCCGCCGCCGCCGAAGCCCAAAACAAAAGTTCGCGTACTGGTTGACGTTCTGTGTAGTGTGCAGGGGTCTTGATCGTGAAGCAAATATTCGGTTTCGTCTTATTCTTATTTCCGTGGTACTTTTGTGACCTAATTTTATTACATCTATGAATTTATATATTTTGGGCAGGATACAATATTATATAATGTAAAATGTAAAATGGATTAATAATAATAATAACGTAACCTAACATGCAACATGCTCTTAATGTCAGACGTCAGTGCTAAAAAGTTCAATAACCACAATGAAAATGCTATTGAGTAAGACATTGGCTTGTTAACCTAATGAAAAATATTTAATATTTATTAATTCAATGACTAAAATACAATTAATT